AAAAGCATGAATGCGGCCTCAGGCATGTCAGTGCAGAGTGGTCCTCCATACCAAATGCCCTCTCTCCCAGGGAGGGCTAGTCCTCAGAGGCAAGTCACCGCTCTCTGCAGGAAGGCAGGCTAAGGGATATCTGCAACCCTCCTTCTTCCTTGCTGGTGAGGAGGGGAGAGTGGAAAGAGCACCTTTTGGTGCTGGGGGCCTTCAGGTCACAGCCTAAGAGGTGACCGACCGTGAGGCAGCCTCTACCTCAGGAGCAGAAGTATATTTCCTCTGCAGCATCCTTTGGGGCTAAATATGGCAAGCAAGGCTGGGTCTCAGCCTTGGGGGCAGGTCTCAGTGCCAGCAGTGCCCCTATGGGAGAGATGTAGAAGACCCTCCCCCAGAGTACCCCCATTCCCCTCTCAGCCCCAGCACCCAGTGCAGGGAGCAGCAGGGAGTGGCCACTGCAGATAGATCACAACTGGCTCATTCAACATGTGGTTCACAGAGCCCCCAGCCTGGTCCCCAGGCCTCTGGATCATGGGTAGGTGGTACCACCTTAGCTGCCCTTCCGTACATTGAACAGTTCAAGTAAGGGAGCAGCTGAGAAAGGTTCTTCTTGGGATGAAAGTCCCTTCAGAGCCAGAACCCACAAGGCCCTGCTTTTCTGAATCCCCAGCAGGCTCCTGGCAGGGCAGGAAGCAGCTCCATGAGGGAAGCCACTTTCTTGTAGCTTCTGCTTCTCCTACTTCCAAAGCAGCTCTTGGCCTGCGCGCCACACTGAGCCTACCCCTTCATACTGCTGCTCGGGCCCCACTGGGCTGGGCTGCACAGGTGTCCTGCCTCTGAGATGACAGGATAGGCTTCCTTGCTGGCAAGAAGGGTCAGCCTGAAAAAGCCGGTGTCTGGGCAGAGCCTTCCACCTCAGTGCAGCCCTGGGAAGTCCCTTAGCTCACCTCTGGTTCTTGGGACATGCGTCTGTGGCGGATGGCCTGCTCCTCTCCTGACCATGTGCCAGGTCAGGCTCATGGGGGTATGGACAGCATGACTCTAAGACAGGTTTCCTGTCCCACTGGTAGAAGGCCATTTCCTGTGATTCTGGCGGGCAGCTGGATTGGAGGGTGCCGAGGAGCTACAGACAGATGGCTGAATACAGATGAGGAAGGCTCTCCCTGCTCTGGTCCCAGGGCTGAGGAGTCTGCCACAGGTCTGGCCATGTATGCCCAGCCTAGGTGAGCAGGTGAGCTGGGGTGCATGGCCATCTCTGCCCCTGTCCAGTAGACAGCATCCACCCCCTAACACAAGGGTGAGGACCGTGGAGGAGGGAAGAAGACGTTAAGGCTGAACCCTTCCAATCAAGCTCCTGACAGTCTGTAGGAGAGACAGAGGGAAGTCTTGCTGTTTTCAGAGAGCTCCCTTCCTAGTGTCCTCTCTGAGAGGCCTTTCTGCCTGGGCCTCAGCCTGGGTGGGGCTGGAAGAGGGCGTGGTCAAGGCTCCTTGCCATCTCGAAGAGGCTGGATAGAAATAGCTGTGCCCATCTGGGTGATGAGTCACTGAGGGGTGTTTTAGCTGTTTCTTGGAGAGGTTCTATTTTAGGTGAGTGCCTGTGACAGCCTGGGTGACGGAGGCTGGGTAAGGGAAGGTTCTGGTGGTGAGTGCAGGAGTTTTAGCACATGCCCTTATTCAACCCTGTCCAGAACCCGAAAGGGTCACTCTGAAGTCCCAGGATAAGGAGCTTTATGTTCCAGATTCCTCTTCTCAGAAGTCTCACCTCAGGGCATGCTATAGCCTGCAGGTGTACAGTGGAAATGGAGCCTGGGGTGTGCACTGGGCACCCACCATAGGAACTGGGTCTGTGGCAGCTGCCCTGGGCCTCCCCTCAGAAGGCTAGTCCCCTCCAGGGATCCATCTGAGGATGAGCAGAAACAGCTTGCCCCTGGGAGCTCCCACTTTGATGGGAAGTGAGTCCTCCTCACTCAAGAGTGACTTTCTAAAGGGGTCTTTGGACTGAGTCCCAGGTACCCAAATTGTTTCCTCTGAGGCTCTCTCTGTCCAAAAGTAGACAGAGTTGCCTTGGGTCTTCAAACACATCTAGGTGAGTTGACAGTTCCCATCTGGGGGGATGGCTTCATACCCCAGTGCTGTGGCATCACTGTTCTTAGAGTTTCTGGAACTGGGCTTGGCCTTTGAGGGCTCTGTTAGTGTTTTGCAGAGGGGCCTTGTAAACCCATGACTTGACTGCATGAGGCTGAGTGGACTTTGGAAGAGGCAGGAATGCAGAAGGCACCAGGCTCCAGGCTGCAGCTCGGGAGCTGGGCGGGGCTGCCGGGGTTGGTCTTATCCGCAACACCACTTCCTGGCTGGGTAACCACAAGAGTATGTGGTTAAATTATATCACACCTTGGTTTTCTCCACTGTGAAAACTAAATGAACATGCAGACTATGAACATGCCCTGTGTGGTGCTGGGCACAAGGGGGCGCTCACCAGAGTGCAGTGTTCCCCCCATCCTAGAATGCTGCTTTGGGCCTGCTGGGCAACACAGCCCAGCCTAGACTCCCCAGCTAGCAAGTCAGCTAAAGCAGCAGCTACACAGCCCTGTTGCCTCAAGGCAGAGAGCAGGACTGGAGGCACTCCTGAGGGTGGCCGGAGGTGGGGGGGGGGGGCTTTTTGCCTCAGGAACCGGATTGGCCCTTTCCCTTGTGACTGGAATACCATGGTGCTTTCAAAGGCTCTGGCGATAAACATAGATGGAGCACCCTTGGCTGCAGCCTCAGCTCTGGTTGAAAAGAAGGAGCCTCTTTGGGGCACCGAATCTCCAATCTCTTAGCTTTGGCCTTGTGGGAACTGTGTTCCCTCCCCCCTACCCCCTTTAATAGTTGTTGGGATTAATCCCACAAGAAGCCTCTCTGGAATGAGCCCTGCTCTATGCCACACATTCTGTGCAGTCCTGAGAACACCTCAACCAGAGCTCATGAGCTAGGTGGGGAGATAGGAGACACCCAGGGAAACAAATTGGTAGATATTTCGGGAAGGAATAAGCACTGTGAAGAAAATGAAGTGGGTGATTAGATACAGAGTGCCTGGGGGGGTATGTTAGATTGTGTGGCCAGAGAGGGCCCTGATGGGAAGATCTGAGGCCTAGATAGCCAACGAGGGCAGAGAAAATTGTGAGGCCAGAGGCCCTGGTTACAGAAGTGAGCTTAGGGGACTACTTGGCAGAACAGGAGGCCCAGCATCTCTGGGGTAAGACCACTAAAAGGGGAGATGGCAAGGAAGGAGGCCAGAGTAAGGAAAGTGCTGGGGTAGATCACGGGACCTCATGGGCCATGGTGAGTTCCCATGGCACACATGATGGGAATCCACTAAGGGATTTGAGCCTGTAACTGATAGGCTCTGATTTGTATGTAGATTTTTTGGAGGAAAAAAATATTATTGGCTCATGCACCTGGAAGTCCAAGGACAGGCTTAAGGCATAACTGAATCCAGGGAATTAAATGAACTCATCAGATCTGTTCCTCTCTCCTTACCTTGGTCTGCTTCTGACTGTCTATTGATGTTATCCTTAGCATCTTGCTGCATGCAGGGAAAGAGGGCTGCTGACCACTCTAAGGCTAATTTCCTATACGAGTAATCCCAAAGGAAAAAAGCCCACTCTCTCCTATTGTTCATTCACCAAGGGCTCTGATCAGCCGTGTTTGCAAGGTCACATACCTGTCCCTGCGCCCCTTGCTGAAACCAGTGATTGGCCCAACCTGAGTCATGCATTCACTTTATTCAGGGAGGGGTTGATGCAGAAAGACACTACATGTCCATCACATAAATAGCAGCACATGACTTTTTGTTTTGGAGGCACAGATTATCCCATTTTCTTAAAAAACGTGTCTTGCTTAAGGGGAAAAAAAAAACTTTTTTATTCTACTTACATCATCACTTACATTGCATTATTTTGCTCTCAAGATTGTTCATATATATCTTGTGTCCTCAGCTAGACTCTAATTTCCTCCAGGACAGGGATCATGGTTTCTTTTCTTTTCTTTTTTTTATGTTTATTTCGGTCGGGGGTGGGGGGCAGAGAGAGAGGGAGACACAGAATTGGAAACAGGCTCCAGTCTCTGAGCTTTCAGCACAGAGCCTGATGTGGGGCTCGAACTCATGAGCTGTGAGTTGGTGGCCTGAGCCGAAGTTGGATGCTTAACCGACTGAGCCACCCAGGCGCCCTGGTTTCTTTTCTTTTCTATGCCTTCCTCTCCCTCCTATTACTTTTCACTTATTTATTCATTTTGCAAGTTTCTTTTTTTTTTTTTTAATATTTTTTATTTATTTCTAGGAGAGAGAGAGAGAGACAGCGTCAGCAGGGGAGGGTCAGAGAGAGAGGGAATCACAGACTGAAACAGGCTCCAGGCTCTGAGCTGGCAGTCAGCACAGAGCCCGATGCGGGGCTCGAACCGCGAGATCATGACCTAAGCGAAAGTCGGACGCCCAACCGACTAAGCCACCCAGGCGCCCCTCATTTTGCAAGTTTCTAATTGAATATCTTAGTACAGGCACTGTACTAAGGCCATCCTTTTGTTTTTGGTTTAAAAGATCACTCTGGCTGCTGTGTGGAAATGGCCCTAAGGGGGCAGGCGGGGAAGGAGAGTGACCAGTTGGAGGCTTTTGGGGTCATTGGTGAGGCAGGGCATGGAGATGGAATAATGTACAGAGATCAGAGGTAGCCAGTGGGCAGTGGGGAAGACTCTTGAGCAGGAGGGTCTGGCAGACAGCAGATAGGTGGTTGGGGGGTGGAGACTGTGTGTGACTGCCCCTGTTCTGCTCCAGGCAGGTGACAGCTTCCAGAAGTCAGGGCAGTCCCATGAGCTCAGTCAGCTCTGCCCCCTGGCACCCCAGAAACACCTGAGCGGTCCTTGCTGCTCCTGCCCATGTTAGGAGCTGGCCCTGGCTGCTGGGAGGCCTGCAGTGGCCCGAGCTATGAGCACCATCAGTCCCGACCACCCTGATGACCATGATACTTCCTCCTCAGGTGAAGGAATGGCTCTGTCTGAACTGCCAGATGCAGAGGGCTCTGGGGATGGACATGACCACTGCACCTCGCTCCAAGAGCCAGCAGCAGCTGCACTCCCCGGCCCTGTCTCCTGCCCAGTCCCCAGCCAAACAGCCCCTGGGGAAGCCGGAGCAAGAGAGATCGCAGGGCCCAGGGGCACCACAGTCAGGCCTCCGCCAGCCTGAGACCGCCAGGGCCACCTCAGTGCCGGGGCCTGCCCAAGCAGCTGTCCCTCCGGAGGTGGGGAGGGTGTCTCCTCAGCCCCCTCTCCCCATCAAGCCTTCCACAGCAGATCCCAGGCCACCTGTAGGAGAGGCCCTGGCCAAAAGTGCCACCACAGTGCCCTCTGGGCCTGGTGCTGCTGAGCAGACCCAGGAGGGCCTCACTGGGAAGCTCTTTGGCCTTGGAGCATCACTGCTGACCCAGGCAAGTACCCTCATGTCTGTGCAGCCCGAGGCTGAGCACCAGGGCCAAGTGGCCCCCAGCAAAGGGCCACCTAAGATTGTCTTCAGTGATGCCAGCAAGGAGGCTGGCCCGAGACCCCCAGGCCCTGGGCCAGCACCTGGAGCCAAAACTGAGCCTGGAGCCAGACCAAGTCCTGGATCGGGGCCTGGAGCCCTGGCAAGAACTGGGGGAACAACCAGTCCAAAGCATGGCAGAGCGGAACACCAGGCAGCGACCAAGGCTACTGCCAAGCCAAAGACCACGCCGAAGGAAAGGTCCACCTGCCCACTGTGCCAAGCTGAGCTCAATGTGGGCAGCAAGGCCCCAGCCAACTATAACACCTGCACCACCTGCAAGCTCCAGGTGTGCAACCTGTGTGGCTTCAACCCAACGCCTCACCTGGTAGAGGTAAGAGAGCTGGACCAAGACCTGGAGTAATGGGGGGCCTGGGAGGCATGGGAGCCAGAAGGGGCTGTAGAGAGCCAGGTCTTCAGCAGTTGTGGGGCCCCTACACAGCTACAGAGGGGCTGTACTCCATTTTCTGTCCCTGCCCCCAGGCTTGTTGTTCCCCTCAGAAAACCAGCTGGCACAGTGGATGGGGTAATGGTGCCCGCTGCCTCTGACTGGCTAACCGGTGCCCTGAGGCCAGTCCTAGAGGTAGCCAAGCTCAGGATGCCCTGAACTGGCCTCCTCACTCCCAGCTATCCTGGGCATGGCCTCAATGGAAGATTCCAACCTCCCCTGCTCAGGTGGGGAGAACCTGAGGTTCCAGCCTGCCCTCAGTATATGACCCACACAGGGGGTTGAAGGGCTGGTAGGCACAGGGCTGTGCCCCATTGCCCAGGTTCCAGCCCAGCCAGGTGGTATCCTGCCTCCATCCCCTCTTCTGAGGTCATGGGTATTGATGTCTACTTGTCAAACCCAGTCTTTGGGACACATATTTTCCTTTGGCTGGGCCTGGTTCTCCCTCGGGCTGTTTGTGGGGATGCTCAGAGATGTTCTTCTTACCCATAGGTAAGTTGGAGAAAGTTCTGGGGTTAGGGCCTGTCTCTCTGCATCCTTGCTCCAGGGAAGGGTTCTGGGCATTGTGCAGAGCTGGATAGAAAAGAATAGGAGGTCCAGTTTTCTCTCAAAGCTTGGAGCCCAGCCTGGCAGTCTCAGAAGGTGAGAGGTACCTGGGCAGAGCTGAATGAGCCTAGGCCTGGAGGCTGCCTCTTCTCCGCCCCTTACTTACTCCACCCTGCCCCCAGGGCCATCCTTGTGAACCCTACTTTGGCTGCCTTGGGCATAACTGGTGTGTCCCATTCCCTGGACTGCCCTTAGGGTCAAGATGAGTGATTGGCTCATCTTGACAGGCAGATACACCCCCAGCTATGGCACGTCAGGAGATGGTCAAGCCAAAGCCCTTCCTCTTAGACATGGACAGCCCTTGGAGATCCTAGGCTGAGCCATGCATGGTCAATGGTTGGGCAGGGGAATTCTGATTTGTTTTAAATCAGGCCTCCACTGGAGCAGCCCACTGTGGTAAGGAAGACTGCTTTGGCTGTCATAGGCCATATTTCCCAACATGCAGAAAGAGGCAGCTCTGAGCAAGAAAATGACCTCCTCACATGATGCCCATGTGGCCCTCGAGGTCCCATACCGCCACCTCTCAAACCTTAGGTCCAGTGGCTCACTGGAGGACAGTTGGCCTGGCTGACCAGGGTTGGGAGGGAACACCAGGGGGCCACCAGAGAGCCAGAGGAGCTCCAGTCCAGAGACTACCAGGCACATACTTGCTGTCAGCTGAGTGGCGCACCCTGATCCTGAGGGACTGTGAGCCCTGTTGGACTGCTGAGCTGGCGCGGCCTAGGGGACTGTTGTCCCTGAGAGACCTCCTGGCCCACATTTCCTCACTCAGCGAGACATGCACAGAGAGAAGGGGAAAACCGTCTCTGTCCAAGAGTGTAAATGTTCCTGACAGCTCCTTCCAGCAGCCCCTGGGCCAGGCCAAGGGAAGTGCTAATTCTGCCCAAACATGTCTCAGTCACATGCTGACTCTTGGATGAGCATCTGGATTCTGATCCAAGCCTCTCCTTAGCCACTTGGTTGTCACCTTCCTGGGTCCCGGAGCTTCTGCTTCTGTATAGCCAACATTGCCCCCTGTCCCACCCCCTCAACGTCCTGCTGTCTCCAGGTCCTGCCCCCCTGCCACCTCTTTGGCCAGAACCACCTTTGTCACCACAGGATCTGATGGGTTCCATGGGCCTGACAGCAAAGCTTCTGAGTATCCTGGTTCTTAGCTCCTCCTCACCCAGGGGCCTTTTGCTCCTAATAATAATCAGAGGGCAGCCCAGCTTCTCTAACTCCTTTCTCCTCATGGCTCTGCTTATTAATGCAGTTATCCCCAGAGGGGTCCTGGGGAAGGTATGGGTGGGCAGCCATGATGCCCCCCCCCCCCCCCCCGTGGTTCCCGGTACCACTGTTGCTTTTCTTCACTGTAACCGGGCCATGGACTATCTTTGATCTAGCCTCAGCAAATGGTACTTGACATTCGGAGCAATGGTGTGCTTCTCTGTGACCTACTTTGTGTGAGAGACCTACTGTCTCTCCCACACCTTGCTAACCAAGGCCAGCCTGCCAGGCTTGGAATGACTGTGCTGTCTCTGTGCACAGTGTGAGGCATAGGGACCCTGTCTGCATGTAGGCTGGAGGCTTGAGGGAGAAATGGACCCGGGCAGCCTCACTGCCAGCTCCCCACAGGCCCATTAGACCTGCCGTGGCTCCACCTGAGATTAGAGCCCACTGTCTGGCTGTCAGGTTGGGGATTTTCCTCAACATCTTAGAGGTATAAAACCTTTTACCTTCTTCCTAGACAGGGAGTCCAGAGCATACAGTGAAGGAAGCAGTAGAACTAGATCCCTTTTCGTTCTGAAATTCCCTCTGAAAAAATAACCATAGTGCTATTTAGTGAGTCATTTTATAATTAAGAGTTGTTGATTCCAAATTTTTTACCTATTTATCTTTTGAAGGATAATAGTACCCTCTGGCGTAATTTTTAATTGGCTTTCAGTTCAAAATAGAGTTTGTGCAGAAATTAGTGGAATTGGAAATGTTATAGTAACACCTCCAGTTTCTGATCTTATTAGAATTGTCAAAATACCAGCCATACCCTTGAGAAGTCAGGCCTCCCTGGGCAAAGGGCCTGGCACGTGTGCTATTCAGGGCTGGGCTGGGCTTATTCGGGTCAGGGGCTGCATCGGGGGCACCAGGTGAGAGGCCATCAGCTGCCTCTGGTGATAGTGGTCTCAGGGAGCCCTGTCTCCTCCACATGGAATAGGGGTGAGAGCATTCTGTCTTAGGCTTCTGGGAGAACTAGTTGAGATGCCATACTTCAGATACATGTGCAAGGTCCGACACACGGCCAGGTTGGAGCCAGCCAGGAGTCCCTGTGCAGGGAAGAGAGTCTCCACTGGCCCCCGACTATCTGGGTGTGAATCAATCCTATGGCCAGTGCAAGACCCAAGTCTCATGAAGGATGCCCCGTGGGGAATGGACACATTTGGTACTGGAGCGTGAGGAGAGCATAGCCCAGCCAGCAAGGCACACATTGGGGATATCAGAGAGGATTCCTCTTATTGGAGGTAGAGGCCCAAAAAGGAGAAGCTTAAGCATGTCCAGAGACAGGGTGGGGCAGGGTTATAGCATCAGGAGAACAGCAGCACCAGTGACGGCCACGTCTGTAGTCCAGGGTCTGGCCATGCCTGTTGAGCCCTTTATGTCTGGGCATCCTTTCTCTGGATTTCTCATCAACTACCCCGGTCAGGCATAGAGGCTTGGGGTATGTTGGGCCCAGGAGCTGGCCATGGGATATTGGTCAGGCCAGTGTCATGTGATCAGACAGACTGATACAGGCCAGCTCCACATACACAGAGATTGCATTCTGCAAGGTCATTCAGACAATGGCAGACAGTGTAAGAAGGATGCCCAAAATGCATTGCAGCCTCACTGGGCAACCCTGGCCCTTGAGGCACAGTAGCCAATGGTCTTAGAAGGCAGCCAGGCTCATCCACCTGTGGGATACTCCACCAACTCTCAGACAATTCACTTCCCCCTCTTGCCTCTGACCTCACCTCCCACCATTAGGTGGTGAGTGCCCTGGGGCATTCCTACCTTCCTGCCCCCAGAAAGAAACTGGATGGAGGGAGGCAAGGCAGAAGTGGTCATCAAGCATCCCACTGTCCATTCCTAGGTCCCAGGTCATCTGCCCACTTGCCAAAGGGTCAGCCAAAGGGGAAGCAGGTACCAGCTCCCTGCAGCTGACTGGGGGTGGGGGTGGGAGAGTGTAAGAGAGGGTGTACAGGTAAATGAATGAATGAGGGAATAAACATGAATGAGTGAATTCAAGGACAAGAGGAAAAATGGAATGAATGAGCAGGGACGGGGTGAGGGAGGACATGCTGTTGGGGGCAGAGATGAGAACTGAGTGAATAAAGGGGCACCTAGATGACTCAGTTGGTAAAGTGCCCCACTTGAGCTCAGATCATGATCTCATAGTTGGTGGATTCGAGCCCTGTGTCAGGCTCTATGCCGACAGCTCAGAGCCTGGAGCCTGCTTTGGATTCTGTGTCTCCTCTCTCTCCCCCTCCCCTTTTCATGCTCTTTCTCTCTCTCTCAAGAATAAATTTTTTAAAAACATTAAAAAAAAAAAAAAGAAAAGAAAAAAACTGAGTAAATAAAGAAATCAGGACCTGTGCTCCAGCCCCCAAGCACAGAACCTCATGGCCAGCCTCCTACCCCAACCCCCTTCCCCAGACACTTAGGTCTGCACCAGGTCTCCTCAGACTCCACCCCTACAGGCCCCAGTGCCTGCACTCTTCTGCCCCCACCTCCAGAGAGCTGGGGAAGGGCCTCCAGCAGCCAGGTCAGATGTTTATTTTTAGCCCTTACCTCACATGCCTCCCCCTGCCTGCCTTCCCTCCCTCCCTGGCCGCCTGCTATAGCAGAGCCAGGAGCAAGAGGCCCAACTGGGCAGCCCCTTCTGCAGTCTGGCTGTCTCCATGAATAAGCGTGGGAAGGAACGAAACCCTGGGGAGCATGTGACCGCGGGTGACATGCTCTGCTAAGGGCTGGGCTCTGGGCTCAGGTAAGCAGGCTGCTGCACATACTGGCTTTGAGCCCTTGGCATTAGGTCTGCCTTCTCCATCCAGAACATCTTTCCAAGGTGCCCTTGCTTCATTGGGACTTTGGCTTCTTGGGTGAGGTCTGCAGGCCAGAGGTAGGGGTTAGAGATTTGCCAAGCCCCTGAGGTGAGCTAGGGCAGATGACCGGACCTCGAGAGGTCTCAGCTAGAATGGGTGTGTGCAGGGCCCCAAAGTGGAGTCAGAACAGTGTTGCCATAGGCCAGCCCTCTGTCTGGGCCCGGATCCTAACCCTATCTTGCTGATCCTGGGGCTTTTCTCATTTCCAGAACTCTCTTAGCTTCTCCCTACACCCCTCTTACCTCTCTAGGGGCTTTTTGTCATGTCATAATCCTTTTTGACGTGGGGGGATTTCCACTGTGTCCCTAGGTGATGTTAGAGGCATGTGGGCTCTGGGCTCAGGCTGGGCCTCTGTGCTCTTCCATGCTGGATCTCAGGGCTTGGGCTCAGCCTGCCTAGCATTCTTCCCAGGCACCTCTAGGGGTGACTTAAGACCCAACAAGTAGCCAGCACCCATTGCTTCATAGGGGTTTGTGTCAGGGATACATAGAGGTCAGATAAGGTCAAAGGGAGTTAGTAGTGGTGCTAGGGCCAAGGAACAAGGTGAGTAGATGTAGGATCTCTGAAGGGTCACCCTCCATAGCTGGGACCCCTGCTTAGGACCTGTGTGTGGGATTGGGCCTCAGGGCAGAGTCAGAGCTCCAATCTTAGAGAGCAATCTCAAGGATTTGAGTAACAAGCCTATGGATCAGGCCTATCCCTTACATACACCAAGGGCCTGCCACCTGCCTGTCTGGCCTCTGCTGGGGCCCAAAGTAGAGATGTCATATGTAGTCCTTTGGGCAGGAAACCAGGGCAGAATCATTGATATGGCATCTGCCATGGTGGCCTAAGGATACCAGGCTGTGGGCAGGCACTCTGGGAGTACTGTGCTTCCAAGGATCTGCCACATGTGCCAGGGTCTGACATGGGCACAGAGCAGTGTGTGAAGTAAGGGCGCCAAGGCTGCCAGCCCACTTTGGGCAGATGAGGGCCACAGTCTACCTTCTTGCCCTGTCTCCTGGCTCTGTGATCCTGTGGTTCTGGGTCTTGTGGTTCTCCTAGTGGCCCATCCCAGTGGCCAAGCTGAGTGTCTGGGCACCTGAGAGGAGCAGCAGCAGGAAGGTCAGAGTGCCGAGGCTCTGCCCCCTCCTCCAGGGTGAAAGCAGGCATGAGTGTGTGGTTATCCCCTTTCCCACCTCCTTTGTGGGCCAGGGTAGCACTTCCAGTCTTGCCAAGGAAGAGCCCTGACTCTGGAGGAAGTTCCTGGGAGACATACCCCTGTCAGCCTCCGACCTGCTGCAGGAATCACCCAAGCAGGGCCTGGGATGCTCAGACCTCACTCCTATGCAGACAGCTGGAGCTGGGGGAAGTAGACTTGGTTTCTAGTGTTCTAGGAACTTTACCACTGATATCCATGTCATACTTGGATGACCAGTTTGGGGCTTTGGGCTCCAGGAAGGCTGCATTCCAGCCAGAACCTGTGTCAGTCTTAGTCATGGCTGTGTCTGCAGCCCCCAGCACTGAGCCTGACAGAGAGTATTGCCCTGAGAGTAGTGGACTGATGGTTGAGTGTTTGGGCCCCACCCAGATCTGGAGGAAGCAGGGTCCTTGGCCTAAGTGTCAGCACACACAGTCCTCATCAGAACAGTTCAGAGCCCTGGGGTCAGGAAGAGGCTTCCACCTGAGGGTCTTTGCTGGCCTTGGACAAGGTGACTTGGGCTGGGGGATGTAAGCAGAAGGGACTGCTTGCCCCATCCTCCCACCAGGGCTTCTTCCAGGCAACCTCTCTTGGCCCCAGGAGCCTGCAGCCTCCCAGTGCAGCCCTTACTTGGGAAGAATGTGGGGAAGGATGATGTCTGAGGCCTGAGGGCTAGGATGTCAGGGAGGGGCTGGGCACCCAGGAGGCGCTTCCTGTCTGAGGCCACTCCTGATCTGCACAGGTTCTGGGCTGCTGGACTCCGAGCTAGATCCCCCTCTTTTCCAGACTCATGAGCTACCTGTAGCCTCCTCTCCCTGGCAGGTCTCTTCCTTTTCTGGCCAGGTAAAAAAGCTCTCTACAGGGTAAAGAAGGGACCCTTCTTTTTGGTTTATCATTTGAACTCTGAAGGATGGGGAAGCCTGTCATTTGGGGGCAATAAATCTATCAGTCATTTTCTCCTTGTGCCTTTGGGGTCATGCTTTAGAGGACTGTCTCCTGCTTATGGTTACAGAAATAGTCACAGGAATACTCTTTGAGTACTTCAGTGTCTTTGTGATTTTTATCAGCCCCCTCCCCTCCCGTTTCCCTACAGAAAACCGAGTGGCTCTGTCTGAACTGCCAAACTAAGCGGCTACTAGAGGGCAGCCTGGGAGAGCCGACCCCCCTGCCGCTGCCCACGTCACAGCAGCCCCCCTCAGGGGCCCCTCTCCGTACAGCTGGAGCAGCCCCTCCAAAGCAGAAAGGGCCACAGGGGCTGGGCCAGCCATCAGGCCCCCTGCCTGCCAAGGCCAGTCCCCTGCCCACCAAGGCCAGTCCCCAGGCCAAGCCCCTCAAAGCTTCTGAACCCAGCAGGACCCCGAGCAGTGCCCAAGAAAAGAAGACAGGAATCCCAGCTAAAGCCGAGCCCGGGCCGAAACCACCTCCAGAGACTACCCTGCCCCCTGGAACTCCTAAAGCAAAGACGGGGGCCCGGAAGACTGAACCTGCCACGTCTGTCATCAAGGCTGTTCCAGAAGCCCCCAAGGGTGGGGAGGCAGAGGTCAGTCCCATTCATTCCCTAGGGACCTTAGCTCTCAGGTGGGATGGTCTAGAGAAGGGCTTGGTTCCTTGGGATGTAGGCCTGGGGCGGGTCCCTTGGGGCCACAGAGGAAGTAAGGGATGCCTGGATGAGGCCCTAGTAGGCCTGGAGCCTATACATTATAGGCTGGCCTTATGTCTGGCACCTGGTTGAATGCTTGGGTGGATTTTGCTACCATTAGATCTAATAAAGCTTCTCTTTGAGAATCTAGGGCTGCTTGGGGTTTTCAAGACCAGAGAAATGGAGGGTGGTAGGCCCTGATCCCCTGGGAGGTGGAGGGCCCCTTCCTCAGGACCCTGGGATTGACAGAGAGGGCTGGACTTCCCCAGTGAGCTGTCTGCCATGGGGAGTCAGTGTCTGCTTCTCACCCTGCTGCAGGAGCTGGCAGGCAAGCCTTATTCTCAGGACCTGTCTCGGAGCCCACAGAGCCTCAGTGACACAGGCTATTCCTCTGATGGCATCTCCAGCTCCCAGAGCGAGATCACAGGCGTTGTACAGCAGGAAGTGGAGCAACTGGATAGCGCAGGGGTGACAGGGCCTCGCCCGCCCAGCCCCTCCGAGCTCCACAAGGTGGGGAGCAGCATGCGGCCTTCGCTGGAGGCCCAGGGTCCAGCCCCCAGGGGCGAGCAGAGCAAGCCACCCAGGAGCAGTGGTGAGGAGCAGAAACGGAGGCCCCACTCCTTGTCCATCATGCCTGAAGCCTACGACTCCGATGAGGAGCTGGAGGATATCTTGGAGGAAGAGGAAGACTCTCTGGAGTGGGGGCGCCAGAGGGAGCAGCAGGACACAGCCGAGTCATCAGATGACTTTGGCAGCCAGTTGAGGCACGACTACGTGGAAGACAGCAGTGAGGGTGGCCTGTCCCCGCTCCCACCCCAGCCCCCAGCCCGGGCAGCAGAACTGACTGACGAGGAGTTCATGCGACGGCAGATACTGGAGATGAGCGCCGAGGAAGACAACCTAGAAGAGGATGAAGTCTCCACCTCTGGGCGTGGCCTGGCCAAACATGGCGCCCAGAAGGGTGGCCCCAGGCCCCAGCCTGAGCCCAGCCAAGACCCAGCGGCGCTGCCTAAGAGACGTCTGCCGCACAACGCCACCACAGGGTATGAGGAGCTGCTCTCTGAGGGAGGCCCAGCTGAGGCCAGTGATGGCACTGGGGCCCTGCAGGGGGGGCTCCGCCGCTTCAAGACCATTGAACTCAATAGTACAGGCAGCTATGGCCACGAGCTGGACCTGGGCCAAGGTCCCGATGCCAGCCTGGAGCGGGAGCCAGAGCTGGAAATGGAGAGCCTGACAGGCTCCCCGGAGGACCGCTCCCGTGGGGAGCACTCCTCCACGCTGCCTGCCTCCACACCCAGCTACACTTCGGGCACCTCTCCCACCTCCCTGTCCTCCTTGGAGGAGGATAGCGACAGCAGCCCCAGCCGCCGGCAGCGACTGGAAGAAGCAAAGCAACAGCGCAAGGCCCGGCACCGTTCACATGGGCCCCTGCTGCCCACCATCGAGGACTCCTCTGAGGAGGAGGAGCTGCGGGAGGAGGAGGAGCTGCTGCGAGAGCAGGAGAAGATGCGGGAGGTGGAACAGCAGCGTATCCGCAGCACGGCCCGCAAGACACGGCGAGACAAGGAAGAACTGCGGGCCCAGCGGCGGCGTGAGCGCTCCAAGACCCCTCCAAGCAACCTGTCACCCATCGAGGATGCCTCCCCGACTGAGGAGCTGAGGCAGGCAGCTGAGATGGAGGAGCTCCATCGCTCCTCCTGCTCCGAGTACTCACCCTCCCCTTCCCTCGACTCAGAGGCTGAGGCCCTGGATGGCGGCCCTACCCGGCTCTACAAATCGGGCAGTGAGTACAACCTGCCCACCTTCATGTCCCTCTACTCACCAACTGAGACGCCCTCAGGCAGCTCCACCACTCCAAGCTCTGGCCGGCCCCTCAAGAGCGCCGAGGAGGCCTATGAGGAGATGATGCGCAAGGCCGAGCTGCTCCAGCGGCAACAGGGCCAGGTGGCAGGTGGCCCCTCCCAGCCCACTGGCGCCCGGAGCCAGGGCAACTTTGAGTACCAGGACACCCCCGATCAGGACTATGGCAGGGTTGCGCAACCTCCCTCTGAGGGCATACCAGCCAGCCTGGGGGCAGCCGTGTATGAGGAGATCCTTCAGACATCACAGAGCATTACCCGCATGCGGCAGGCCTCCTCCCGGGACTTGGCCTTTGCAGAGGATAAGAAGAAGGAGAAGCAGTTTCTGAATGCTGACAGTGCGTACATGGACCCAATGAAGCAAAATGGCGGCCCACTCACCCCTGGTACCAGTCCCACCCAGCTCGCTGCCCCTGTGTCCTTCTCCACCTCCACCTCCACAGATAGCAGTGGTGGCCGAGTCATTCCTGATGTCCGCGTTACTCAGCATTTTGCAAAGGAGCCTCAGGACCCCCTCAAGCTTCACAGCTCTCCTGCCTCCCCCAGCTCTGCCTCCAAGGAGGTAGGCATATCCTTTTCCCAGGGCCCTGGCACCCCAGCCACCACAGCTGTGGCTCCTTGTCCAGCCAGCCTGTCACGAGGTTATATGACTCCGACCTCCCCAGCAGGCTCTGAGCGCAGTCCTTCACCATCTGCTGTAGGCCACAGCTATGGACAGAGCCCAGCCACTGCAAACTATGGGTCCCAAACTGAGGAGCTACCCCAGGCCCTCAGTGGCCCCACTGCCAGCGGACGGGCTGCCAGAGACAAGCCCCTGAGTGTGAGTGATGGTGAGAGCGGCCCCCCCAAGGCCTCCCGGGGGTATTCCTACTTCGCAGGCTCCAGCCCACCTCTCTCTCCATCTTCTCCCTCAGAGAGTCCCACATTCTCCCCTGGCAAGCTAGGTCCAAGGGCCACAGCCGAGTTCTCTACACAGACGCCAAGCCCGACTCCAGCCTTGGACATGCCTCGGAGCCCTGGTGCCCCGACCCCAACACCTATGGTGGCTCAGGGCACACAAACACCACACCGACCCAGCACACCTCGCCTGGTGTGGCAGCAGCCCTCTCAGGAGGCCCCCTTCATGGTCATCACTCTGGCGTCAGATGCCTCCAGCCAGACCAGGATGGTACATGCCAGTGCCTCCACTTCCCCAGTGTGTTCGCCCACTGACACCCAGGCCACCACCCACAGCTATAGCCAGACAACACCTCCGAGTGTGTCCCAGCTGCCCCCAGAGCCACCTGGGCCACCTGGCTTCCCGCGGGCACCCAGTGCTGGCACAGATGGGCCCTTGGCAGTCTATGGCTGGGGTGCCCTCCCTGCTGAGAATATCTCCCTGTGCCGGATCTCCTCTGTCCCTGGAACGTCTAGGGTGGAGCCAGGCCCTAGGCCTCCTGGCAGTGCCGTGGTAGACCTTCGCACAGCTGTCAAGCCTACTCCCATCATCCTTACTGACCAGGGCATGGACCTGACCTCTCTTGCCGTGGAAGCAAGGAAGTACGGCCTTGCCCTGGATCCAATCCCAGGACGGCAGTCAACTGCTGTTCAGCCTTTGGTCATCAACCTCAATGCCCAGGAGCAGACCCATGCCTTCCTCAGCACCGCCACCACCGTGAGCATCACCATGGCCTCATCTGTGCTCATGGCTCAGCAAAAGCAGCCTGTGGTCTACGGAGACCCCTTCCAGAGCCGGCTTGACTTTGGCCAGGGTGCAGGTAGCCCTGTGTGTCTGGCCCAGGTCAAGCAGGTAGAGCAGGCCGTCCAGACAGCTCCGTACCGAGGTGGGCCCCGTGGAAGACCTAGGGAGGCCAAGTTTGCCAGGTATAACCTGCCCAACCAGGTAGCACCTCTGGCCAGAAGGGATGTTTTAATCACTCAGATGGGCAGTGCCCAGAGTGTTGGCCTCAAATCAGGCCCGGTGCCAGACCCTGGTGCTGAACCCCACCGGGCTGCCCCTGCAGAGCTGCGGTCACACGCTGCGCCAGGTGCCAGGAAGCCACACACAGTGGTGGTGCAGATGGGAGAGGGCACGGCAGGCACTGTGACCACACTGCTCCCAGAGGAACCAGCAGCCCTAGACCTCACTGGGATGAGGCCTGAGAGCCAGATGGCGTGCTGTGACATGGTCTACAAGTTCCCCTTTGGCAGTAGCTGCACAGGCACCTTCCACCCTACCCCCAGCGCTCCTGAGAAGAGTGTGTCAGATGTTGCCCTACCTGGCCAGAGCAGCGGCCCCTTCTACAGTCCCCGGGACCCTGAGCCTCCTGAGCCCCCCACCTACCGGGCACAGGGGGTAGTGGGGCCTGGGCCCCATGAGGAGCAGAGGCCCTACCCACAGGGCCTCCATGGCAGGCTATACTCCTCCATGTCTGACACCAATTTGGCTGAGGCTAGCCTCAACTACCATGCCCACAGGATTGGGCAGCTCTTCCAGGGCCCTGGACGAGACTCAGCTGTGGATCTCAGCTCGCTGAAGCACTCCTACAGCCTGGGCTTTGTGGATGGACGCTACCTTGGGCAGGGCTTGCAGTATGGCTCGTACACAGACCTGCGTCATCCCACAGACGTTTTGACTCACCCACTTCCCATGAGGCGCTACAGTTCAGTGTCAAACATCTACTCAGACCACAGGTATGGTCCACGGGGAGATGCAGCTGGCTTCCAGGAGGCCAGCCTGGCCCAGTACAGTGCCACTACCGCCCGTGAGATCAGCCGCATGTGTGCTGCCCTCAACTCCATGGATCAGTATGGAGGGCGGCATGGCAGCGGTGGTGGTGGCCCTGACCTCATGCAGTATCAGCCCCAGCCCGGGCCTGGGCTCAGTGCCCCCCAGGGTCTGGCTCCCCTCAGACCTGGCCTCCTTGGGAATCCCACCTTCCCGGAGGGCCACCCAAGTCCTGGGAACCTGGCCCAGTACAGGCCTACGGTAGGCCAGGGAACGGCAGTCAGACAGCTGCTGCCATCCACAGCCACTGTGCGTGCAGCTGACGGCATGATCTACTCGACTATCAACACTCCAATTGCTGCAACACTGCCCATAACCACCCAGCCCGCCTCAGTACTGCGGCCTATGGTGCGTCGTGGCATGTACAGGCCTTACGTGTCTGGTGGGGTCACAGCCGTGCCGCTCACCAGCCTGACACGCATGCCCGTGATTGCCCCCCGGATACCTCTTGGGCCCACAGGGCTGTACCGGTATCCTGCACCAAGTAGATTCCCTGCTGCTTCCAGCATTCCACCTGCCGAGGGTCCTGTCTACCTGGGGAAACCTGCTGCTGCTAAGGCCACGGGCGCTGGGGGCGCACCAAGGCCAGAGCTGCCAGCAGGGGCAGCTCGGGAAGAGCCTCTTTCCACAGCCACCCCTGCTGCTGCCAAGGATGCTGTAGCAGCCCCAGCCCCAGCCCCAGCCCCTCTGGCCAGCCAGAAGCCGCCTGTAGATGCTGCTCCCGGGGGCAGCAGCGGGGCCCTCAGCCGGCCAGGGCTGGAGAAGGAAGAATCTGTGCAGGAGGAACGACAGCGGAAACAGCAGGAGCAGCTGCTGCAGCTGGAGCGGGAGCGAGTGGAATTGGAGAAGCTGCGGCAGCTGCGGCTGCAGGAGGAGCTGGAACGGGAGCGAGTGGAGCTGCAGCGGCACCGTGAGGAAGAGCAGCTGCTGGTGCAGCGGGAGCTGCAGGAGTTGCAGACCATTAAGCACCATGTGCTGCAGCAGCAACAGGAGGAACGGCAGGCCCAGTTTGCCCTGCAGCGGGAGCAGCTGGCACAGCAGCGCCTGCAGCTGGAGCAGATTCAGCAGCTGCAGCACCAGCTGCAGCAGCAGCTAGAGGAACAGAAGCAGCGGCAGAAGGCCCCCTTCCCCGGGGCCTGCGAGGCACCTGGCCGAGGGCCTCCACCAGCCGCCACGGAGCTGGCTCAGAATGGCCAGTACTGGCCACCCCTGACCCACACCGCCTTCATCGCTGTAGCAGGGCCGGAGGGGCCTGGACAGCCTCGGGAGCCTGGGCTGCATCGGGGCCTCCCCAGCTCTGCCTCAGACATGTCACTGCAGACGGAGGAGCCGTGGGAGACGGGCCGCAGTGGCATCAAGAAGCGGCACTCTATGCCTCGCCTGCGGGACGCCTGTGAGCCAGAGTCGGGGCCCGAGCCCTGCATGGTCAGGAGGATTGCAGACAGCAGCGTGCAGACAGACGACGAGGATGGGGAGGGCCGCTACCTCCTGACCCGGCGGCGCCGGGTGCGGCGGAGTACGGACTGCAGCGTGCAGACTGATGACGAGGACAGTGCCGAGTGGGAGCAGCCAGTGCGCCGCCGCCGGTCCCGGCTCTCCCGCCACTCGGATTCCGGCTCTGACAGCAAGCATGATGCTGCTGCCTCATCGTCCCCTGCGACCGCTGCTGCGAGGGCCATGAGCAGTGTGGGCATCCAGACCATCAGTGACTGCTCTGTGCAGACGGAGCCTGACCAGCTGCCCAGAGTCTCTCCAGCCATCCACATCACAGCCGCTACTGACCCCAAAGTGGAGATCGTCAGGTACATCTCTGCACCAGAGAAGACTGGGCGCGGGGAGAGCCTGGCCTGCCAGACAGAGCCTGAGGGGCAGGCCCAGGGCGTGGTTGGTCCACAGCTTGTGGGGCCACCCGCCATCAGCCCCTACCTGCCTGGCATCCAGATCGTCACCCCAGGACCCCTCGGCAGATTCGAAAAAAAGAAGCCAGATCCCCTGGAGATTGGATACCAAGCCCAGCTGCCCCCGGAGTCCCTGTCACAGCTTGTGAGCCGCCAGCCTCCCAAGTCCCCCCAGGTCCTCTACTCACCAGTCTCACCCCTATCCCCACACCGGCTCCTGGACACCTCCTTTGCTTCCAGTGAGAGGCTGAACAAGGCTCACGTGAGTCCCCAGAAGCACTTCACAGCTGACAGCGCTCTCCGCCAGCAGACGCTGCCTCGCCCCATGAAGACCCTGCAGCGGTCCTTGTCCGACCCTAAGCCCCTCAGCCCCACCGCCGAGGAGTCTACTAAAGAGAGGTTCTCCCTCTACCAGCACCAGGGGGGACTGGGTAGCCAGGTATGGGCACAGGGGCTGGTCCAGGGTGGGACAGGGGTCTCTGTCTAGCCTGGGGGCCCCACAGGGAGGGGTTTCTCCTGGGGTGGGGGTGGAGTCACCTCCAGCTCTAGAGGCCCAGAGGCAGGAGTTGAGGATGAGGACTGGACCTTCCTTGATGCACACCTGGTGGAGCCAGCAGCCTGGCAAGGACATCTGGGTAAATACAGACTCACACACTGGCCCCCACAGCCACCCATCTAGACACTGCTAGCAACTTCAACCTCTCCTCAGCACTGCCTCTTCACAGCCCATATCTGGTCCAGTCCCTGCCATGTCCCCCCCAGTCTGGGTCCCTCCCATTCCTAACCTTTACTGTGGATATTTCCTTAGAAAATCAGTAACATGGACATGGCTGGGCCACTCCCTATTCCCCAGCCCTGGCCTGGCTTCCATGGCCCCACAGGAAGCCTAAGGCCCTTGGCCTAGCATTCACAGTCCATCCCAATGAGCTGCAGCATCTCTCGGTCTCATCTTGTCCCCTGCCTCTATCTGGCCCTCAGTAAGTCTGCTCTGGGTCTGCTCCCCTAGGCAGGGAACCCTGGAGCATCAACATGCCCTTGCCTATGGGTTTAGTTGCCAAGGATGCCCTGGGACTGAGTGAGGTGGCATGCTGTGGGCTGCAGTGCAAGGGAAGATAGGAGTTGAAAGGGCCTTCCGCCAAGGATTTTGAGTGCCAGGCTAAAGAGCATGAGCTTTTCTTGTAGGGCCTTGGAGTTCCTGGAGGTTTTGGGCAGGTGAGACAGGCAAGATGGAAAGCTTCTTGGGCAGAATGTGGGTAGATGGGCTGAAGGGGAAGACTGCACAGTGGCCCTGAGGAAAAGGAGTAGGAACCAGAGGCATTCTGAGGTATGTTTTCTGGGCGTGATGCAGAGAGGAGAGGGTGGGGCCTCGAGGTGGGTTGGTGGAGGTGATGAGCTGGGGAGAGCCCTAGGGTGTACAGGCTTGAAAGAGTGGGGGTGGGATCAGGAGTCTGGGCTGGCAGAGAGCGCAGACCAGAGAGGCAGGCTGTCCTGGCTCTAGGCCAGGGTGGGCACAGAAGTTCCATGGGCTGGCAGTGTGGTGCCATGCCATGATGGCTTCTCATGGTGTGCAGCCAAAATAACAAAAAACGAACAATAGAGTGAGGAGTTCAAAAAGCGAAATGTATTGTTAAAGGCCCACCCATTGTTCTGGGGCTCTGGGGCACACTGTCATTTCTTTTGTGACAGATGGTGAGTGTGGGTGGGAGGTTTTTATGTAGTTTCTTGGCAAGGTAAAAAGTAAGAAGCCCAGTGTCAGACCCTAGTGGGGATTTGGGTGGTCCATAAAAGCCCAAAGTCCTAGGGCACTCTGGGAAGTCTAGGAACTAGAGACAAAGGACCCAGGGTAAACCTTCTGTCACCTTCTAGTGATGTGAACCTTCAGGTAACGTGAAGGGCAGGCGAGGAGAGCTGCACAGAGGGCAGGGAACCTGGACCAGGAAGCAACACAGCCAGAGATGGGCCAGAGAGGCCCTGCAGGGTAGCTGGCAGCCCCAGAGAGTGGTGGGCTAACAGGAATATGGAGGGAGCTGGGGGCCAGGCCCAGGGCACAGTCCAAAGAGTTTGGCAGAGGGTGATGGAGGGCAGCTGGGAGAAGAGGGTGGACAGGCAGCTGAGCTGCATGTCACCTAAAAGAGGAGTAGGGCAGGGGGCAGGAAAAGACCCAGAGCCTGCAGTAGCTGACATACAGTCAGCATGTGCCCTTTCCCATGATCCTCTGTAGAGCCTAGTGGGCACCCAGGGACCACTCCCTTCCTGTCCATGGCCCTCTACTGCCCTTGGTCCCCACCAGCTGCTAGACCTAAAACCAGAGCCAGATTGTACTCTCCTTACCTCAGGACACTCAGTGGGAGACAGAGGGTGGCAAGCCCTCTGGATATGGGCAGGGTTCTCAGGGCCACTGTGTGCTAGAAGTTCTCAGGCAGGCCAGTCCTAAAGACCAGCACAGAGAGGCATCTGTTCCACCCCTCCCCTGCTGCCCAGAGTGCTGGGAGGGAGAAGGCCTGTAAACTCATCACAGGCCAATGATGATTGCCACCAGTGGGGGGGCAAGGCAGGCCTCCAGGCTGCCTGGTGAATCAGAGCACCAACTGTATGGAGCCCAGCCCCTGACCCAACACAGACCAGGGCTGTTCTACCTTTTGCCCCACCAAGTCACCCACACCTTGGGTCTCAGTGCTGCCCGCCCTTCCCTCTGTCTCAGGTGTCGGCGCTGCCACCCAACGGCCTGGTCCGCAAGGTGAAGCGGACACTGCCCAGCCCCCCTCCAGAGGAGGCTCACCTGCCCCTGGCTGGCCAGGCCCCCCCACAGCTGTACGCAGCCAGCCTGCTGCAGCATGGGCTGGCGGGGCCCACCGCTGTCCCTGCCACCAAGGCCAGCCTGCTCCGGGAGCTGGACCGGGACCTGCGGCTGGTGGAGCATGAGTCCACCAAGCTGCGCAAGAAGCAAGCAGAGCTGGACGAGGAGGAGAAGGAGATCGACGCCAAGCTCAAGTACCTGGAGCTGGGTATCACACAACGTAAAGAGTCTTTAGCCAAAGACCGAGGTGGCCGTGACTACCCACCCTTGCGTGGTCTCGGTGAGCATCGTGACTACTTGTCAGACAGCGAGCTCAACCAGCTGCGGCTCCAGAGCTGTGCCACTCCTGCCGGCCAGTACGCAGACTTCTCTGTCACCGCTGCTGCTCCTGCCACTCCTTCTGGCCCCACTGCCTTCCAACAGCCCCGATTCCCACCTCCAGCCCCACAGTACACTGCAGGCAGTGGTGGGTCAACTCAGAACGGATTCCCAGCCCACCAACCACCCACCTACCCTGGTCCCGGCACATACCCAGCACCTGCCTTTCCTTCTGGCACCAGTTACCCAGCTGATCCTAGCCTGCCAAGCCAGCAGGCTTTCCGTCCCACAGGCCATTATACAGCCCAAACACCCATGCCAACCACCCAGAGCACTCTTTTCCCAGTCCCAGCTGACAGCCGTGCCCCCCACCAGAAGCCACGCCAGACATCACTAGCCGACCTGGAACAGAAGGTGCCCACTAACTATGAGGTGATCGCCAGCCCAGTCGTGGCCATGTCTTCAGCACCACCTGAAACCAGCTATAGTGGCCCAGCAGTAAGCAGCAGCTATGAGCAAGGCAAGGCTGCTGAGCTGCCCCGGGCCAGTGACCGGAGCAGTGTGAGCCTGAGCTCAGCCTCCACCTACCCCTCTGACTCCCACTACAGCCTGGAACAGAATGTCCCTCGGAACTATGTGATGATTGACGACATCAGTGAGCTGACCAAGGACAGCACCTCCACTGCCCCTGATAGCCAGCGACTAGAGCCCCTAGGGCCAAGCAGCAGCGGGTGTCCAGGGAAAGAGCCGGGAGAACACAGCATCCTTGAGGGGACTGCATTGCCCTGCTGCTACACCAGAGGGGAGGAGGAATCTGAAGAGGACTCTTATGACCCCCGTGGGAAGAGTGGCCATCACCGGAGTCTGGAGAGCAATGGCCGACCAGCCAGTGCCCACTACTACAGTGACAGCGACTACAGACATGGGACTCGAGCAGAGAAGTATGGTCCAGGTCCCATGGGGCCTAAGCATCCCTCCAAGAGCCTGGCACCAGCTGCCATCTCCTCAAAACGCAGCAAGCACCGCAAGCAGGGCATGGAGCAAAAGATCTCCAAGTTCTCACCTATCGAAGAGGCCAAGGACGTGGAGTCAGACCTGGCCTCCTACCCCTCCCCTGCAGTCAGCAGCAGCCTAGCCTCTCGGGGCAGGAAGTTCCAGGACGAAATCACCTATGGGCTCAAGAAGAACGTGTACGAGCAGCAGAGGTACTATGGGGTGTCCAGCCGGGACCCAGTGGAGGAGGATGACCGCATGTATGGAGGGAGTGGCCGGTCCCGAGTGGCGTCTGCATACAGTGGGGAGAAACTGTCCAGCCATGACTTCAGCAGCCGGGGCAAGGGATATGAGCGGGAACGGGAAGCTGTGGAGAGACTTCAAAAAGCAGGCCCCAAGCCCTCGTCCCTGAGCATGGCCCACGGCCGGTCCCGGCCCCCCATGCGGAGCCAGGCCTCTGAAGAGGAAAGCCCTGTCAGCCCCTTGGGACGGCCCCGCCCTGCCGGCGGCACCCTCCCTCCTGGGGACACCTGCCCACAGTTCTGCTCCAGCCACTCCATGCCTGATGTCCAGGAGCATGTCAAGGATGGGCCTCGGGCCCACACATATAAGCGTGAGGAGGGCTACATCCTGGATGACTCCCACTGCGTAGTTTCCGACAGCGAAGGTAATGGCAGCCAGGGGTGATTTCTGCAGCTGCTCACCCCCCCGGGGGGCCTGCCCGCCCATGGGGCCCTGGGCCCTGAGATGTCCCAGGGGGGCCTGGCTTGGTGCCTCATCCAGTGGGCTGTTCCACCTGCGCCCTGGCCCTGGTTGTGGGGAGGTGGGCTGGGGGCCTAGTGTTAATTGCTTGTGGCTGTGGTGCCCACTCTCTGGTTTCCTTGCATGGCTTCAGCTGGGCCTCCCCCTGTGGCCAGCCCGGGGGTTGATGGTGTTCTGTTTTTGGTCTCTGAAGCGTATCACCTGGGCCAGGAGGAGACAGACTGGTTTGATAAGCCCCGGGATGCCCGCTCTGACCGGTTCAGGCACCACGGGGGCCACGCAGTCTCCTCCTCCTCCCAGAAGCGAGGCCCTGCCAGGCACAGCTACCACGACTACGATGAGCCCCCTGAGGAGGGCCTGTGGCCACATGATGAGGGTGGCCCGAGCCGCCACACCTCAGCCAAGGAACACCGGCACCACAGTGATCACGGGCGGCACTCAAGCCGCCACACTGGCGAGGAGCCGGGCCGGCGTGCTGCCAAACCACACACTCGGGACCTGGGTCGCCATGAGGCCAGGCCTCACCCTCAGCCCAGCCCTGCCCCGGCCATGCAGAAGAAGGGTCAGCCTGGGTACCCCAGCTCCGCTGAATACTCACAGCCATCCCGTGCTCCATCAGCATACCATCATGCCTCTGACAGCAAGAAGGGCTCCCGGCAGGCCCACTCGGGGCCCACTGCACCACAGCCAAAGCCAGAACCCCAGCCGCAGTCACAAGGTCGGCAGGCAGCTCCTGGGCCACAGCAATCACAGCCGCCGCCATCCAGGCAGACACCCTCAGCCACAGCATCACGCCAGCCACAGACACAGCAGCAGCAGCAGCAGCAGCAGCAGCAGCAGCAGCAGCAGCAACAAGGTCTTGGGCTACAGCCCCCTCAGCAGGCCCCGGTGCAGGCTCGGCTGCAGCAACAGGGCCAGCCAGCCACCCGGGGCCCAGCCCCTGCTGCCAGCCAGCCAGCAGGGAAGGCTCAGCCGGGTCCCACGATAGCCACAGGCACCCAGCCAGCAGGACCGGTAAGTAGGGCTCTAGCACGTGGATCCCACCCAGGGTGGACACTGCGGCTGCAGCTTGGACGTGCCCTTGGTTCTAGGCTGGGCATGGCCAGAGTCCATGGACAGTATCTGAGCTATGGATTCTGTGTTGCAGCCACGGGCAGAACAGGCAAATGGCACTAAAGGGACAGCCAAAGCACCCCAACAGGGGAGGCCTCCTCAGGCCCAGCCCCCACCAGGATCTGGACCCACAGGTGAGCCTATATTTTGGTGCCCTCAGCCATGGCCCAGAATTCCTGGTCTGTCCTCTCCCTACACCTACCGGTGCCCTGAGCTCCCCTGCACTGCCCACCCACACTGCTCCCTGAGAAGGTGCCCACGGGGTTGCAGACCTTTCCAGTAGGAGACAAGCCCGGGGTTAGAATGAGCCAGTTGGGGTCACCAGCACTGGGGACTTTGGGCCCAGGCAGCTCTGGTTAGGGAACCTGGGTGCAGGGCCAGGACCGCAGCTTCCTACCGTCTCCTTCCTTCCCCTTCTCTTCTTCCATCTGTCTTTCCATCCTCCTCGTCTCCTTCCTTGCTTTCCTCAACTTCCCTTTTTCTGCCTCTTCCCACCCCTTCCCTTCCTGTTCTTCTCTCTCTTCATTTCTCTCTCCTCCCCCTCACTCTCCCACCTCACAACTGCCTGTATTCAGATTCCCTCAGGGCTGCTCTCCCACTCACGCCTATCTCCTGATGGTGGTTTCTTTCCCTGTAGGCATGAAGGCTGGAGCCAGGCCTGGAGGGACCTCAGGGGCTCCTGCTGGCCAGCCAGGCGCCGATGGTGAGAGCGTGCTCTCCAAAATCCTCCCTGGTGGGGCAGCAGAGCAGGCTGGCAAGCTGACAGAAGGTAGGCACTGCTTGCAGACAGGTCCATGGTGGGGGGCAGCACCAGGGCCCTGGTCTGAGAGAGGTTGGGTCTGGGAAATGATTCCAGGCTCAGCCAGCCAGCCAGAGGCCAGCCTGAAGGTCCACCTGCTGCTGCCCAGTGGCTCTCTGCATGGTCCTTGCCCCTGGGGTGGGCTTGGCTTCACTGTGCCAAATGGCCCCAACTAAGAGGGAGTTTAGTCCAATTTCCTGATGCCTCTCTTTTTCTTTGTCACAGCGGTCTCTGCTTTTGGCAAAAAGTTCTCCTCATTCTGGTGACCGTGCCCTGTAGGGTAAGTATGAGCTGCCTGTACCCAGCCTCCCTTCGTGTAGGGGTCCTGAGGGGTTGTCTAGGAGGAGTCTGGTCTTTAGCAGTGGGTGATGTGGCCAGAGCTGCAGTATCCTCTCCTGTGAGTGTGGGAAGAGGAGGAAAAGGAGGGACCCAATGCATAGAGGCCTTAATGTGGGGCCCACTCAGTAGGGGTCCTGGCAAAGGGAAGCCAGGGCCTTCCCCACTACCCCTACCGCCCCTCCCATGGCTCTCACAACCTTGAATTGGCTTTAGTTTGTAGGTAGGGCCCCCTGGGATACAGCTCCTCCCCAACCTTCCTCTGTAAATACTCCACAGGCTCTTGAAGAGACGAAGGGAGATGATATCATTGCTGTGGAAAAATCTCTGGAGTCAGAGGCCTGGGCACAGCTCTGAACTCTGCGTATAACAGTGAGTGTCAGGTCCAGGGTAGGGTGGGGCAGAGGAAGGGGTAAAGGTCCAAGGCCTGGCTGACCAGTTCCCAAATGTGAACTGGGAGGAGACTGGGGGACTTCCTTCAGCTGTGATGGGCCTGGCTAGCCGAGGGCCAGAGACTACCAAGCTGGCTGAGATGACTCAGGTAGTAACCTCACGGGAGGATCCAGCAAAGCCAACCATCTCCCACAACTTTGGGTTTGTGCTCTGGGCACTGAATCCAAAGCCCCTTCCCTGAGGCCTCATGCTGGTGACTTTGCTCTAGACGGTCCAGTGAGGCCAGAATCCCCAGTGCTGCAGAGCTTAGTAGCCATGGGCATGAACTTAAAACACTATTGGCTTCCACAGGCTGAGCTCATGACCTGTATGATGGAAGAGCAAAATGAGAAGTGAGGCAGACAGAAAGAGAGGGAGGTCACTGGACAGGCAGTCTCAACCCCTAACCAGTTCAGCCCAGGGAGAGAGTAGAAGGGCCTCCGCACGGAAGCCCTGGCTCTGCCTGGGCTGCAGTGGCCAACATGGGATGGGAAGCCTCCTCCTGGAACCCTCTCTGGCCCCAGACCTGCCTCTGTGGCAGAGCAGGAGGTGGTGCATCATCCAGGATGGCAGGGAGGGTAATGTGCCTAGTGGCATGCTCTGTGCGCAGCCAAGGACCACCTTCTACCATTCCATAACGCTGGGGCCCTCTCCCTCTCCTTCCTTCCCCGCTTTGCAGGTTAAGAGTTCAGAGGTTTGGGTGCTTCTTGTGGTGAGGAGGCATGTGTATGGCAGGGCCAGAGAGTCTGTGAGCAAATCACAGGGGATCCCAGGCCAGGGCTGCTTGTAGGACGGAACTGGGTGTAGTGGCAGAAGGGCTGGCTGTTTCTGGAGGAACAGTGGGGGCCCTAGAAAGCTCCAGTCTTTCATCCACTTATCCGTTTATTCCACAAATGTTTGTCAAGCCCTAGGCAGGTGCCTGGCCTGTTCCAGGTGTGAGGGATACAGCAGGGAAGAAAACCAGGTCCCTGCCCTCCAAAGCAGACAGTCCATTTAAGGGGGACAGAGAAGAAATAAGTTAAAAAAAAAAAAACCCTAAAGGTTAAAAGGTAATTTCTGGGGGCACCTGGGTGGCTCAGTTGGTTAAGAGTCCGACTTTGGCTCAGGTCATGATCTCGCGGTTCGTGGGTGCAAGCCCTGCATTGGGCTCTGTGCTGACAGATTGAAGCCTGGAGCCTGCTTCGGATTCTGTGTCTCTGTCCCTCTCCTGTTCGCTTGCTCTCTCTCAAAAATAAATAAATAAACGTTAAAAAAGAAAAAGGTAGTTTCTGAAGGTAGTAAGTGTTACGAAGCCAGTGAAGCAGGGTTGTGGGGAAGAGGGGTGTGCTCTAAAGAAAGCAGTCAGTGTGAGGTAAAGCTTGAGGTGGGATGATGTTGGGATGGGACAGATGGGCTTCGGGGCCAGACAAAAGGCCCGTATAGCCAGAGCCACAGTGAGGGAGGGGTGGTCGGGGGGACGTCTGAGGGGGTGGGAGCCAGCTCGGGCGGGCTTTATAGGCCAACATAAAGAGCCCGGAATTTATTCTAATTACAGTAGCCACAGTGCGGCACCCCCAGCGTTCTTCCTGCCTTCACCCCACAACAGCGGGCTCCCTCCGCTTTCCTGCCCAGCTGGATGTTTCCTCAGAGTTGCCCTGGAACAGATGTGAAATCAGAAATTGTGCCGAAGGGAAGGAGGGGCAGCCCATGGGCCAGGTTCATGACAGAACGTACGGCTAGGGTTCTGTCACTGAGGAGCGAAAGCAGCCACGGGCGTGGTTCTACTCTTCGTCCTACCACACAGCCTGGGCGGGCCACTGACACCACTAACTTTGTAGTTAAAGGAATCTCCCTCAAGTACTGGCATTTGGCCGATGACTGGGCCACATGGTCAGCACTTCTCTGAGTACCCACCTGCTGGTGTTTTCTATGGCCATTTCAGAAGTGGTCTGGGAGAGGCTGTCCATTTTAAACGAAATCCCATCTCCCTCACTCTCAAGTAACTTATGTTATATTCAAGAAATGTTCCTTCCTAGCCAACTGGATACTCCTTGCTTCCTGTCCTTGTCTTCATGACCTCAAAATTGCACAGGCACCCATCTCTCCAAGGCTCAATGGGTAGGGACCCCGTGGGTGAGGAAGAGTCGGTCCATCGGCACATGGGCAGATCACCAAGAGGAGGGTAGGGATGGGAAGCAGCTGTCCACAACTCTTGACAAAATCCTTCTTTCTTTCCTTCTTTCCCCCTCCCTCCTTCTCTCTTCCAAGCATCTGCAATCTGGCAAACCCTTGGCCCAAAGACTCACACCAGGTGGGACGTGGCAGGCAGGCCTCCGTTGAGGACGGGATGTTTTCTAACAGCAGCTGTCTGGGTGAAGCATCTGCTGGACACGGTGGGACCACTGGCCCCGGGGGACCCGTGATTATCTTTCCAGAGATCCCGCTCTCCTCAGGGTGCCACCTTCAAGGCATGGCCTTCACTGGGAGGGAGGAGCCCTCTCCGGACACCCTGCCTCCGTGGCAGTCCTGCTGCTCTTCCCACAGCCGCTTTTCTGCGGCCCAGCCAGCCAGGCTTCCTATGCGTTATACACAGAGTTTGGGCACAGGCTGCCTATTTTTGACAGATGCTGCCCTCCCTCCACGATGCCAGAGTTTTTCCACAGCCTTGGAGAGCGGCTTTGACTGAGGGCTGGGGGCCCCGGGCTCCGTTTCCTTCACATTCCAGCTGGCCCGGATCCTTCTGTGGCCACAGGGCCCTGTTCCCCTCACCCTGCCCTCTGGGTGACATCGGAGCAGACTTCCATGTGGCCAGCACGGGGTTGGGAGAACTTTACAAACATTAGGACCTAACACTGTCTCATCGCTGAAATAAGAGGCCATAGCACCGAAAAGCAGCGTGGGCACTGGCTGAGGCTTCTCCCAGCCCATGGGTGGCAGCATGCTAGCATGCCTGCCACCGTCTCAAAGCCATCTGCCCCCCTGACCCCCCCAGCCATTGTGAGCATCCCAGCGACACCGCCATCATCTTGAGCAGCCAGCTCCTTGTTTGTACACCTGGGGATTTCTTTTGATTTCAAGAACAGCCTTAATCATTTCAGTTTGATTTACATGTATACCTCATAATCAGTTTTCTTTTGTTTCTTTCTCCCCCTTCTTTTTCTTTGCCCGCCTCCTTGCCTCTCCCCTCCACCACCACCTGTGAATGATGGTTTGGTTTCCTCTCTGCTCTGCCCCTGATCAGCACAGGGAGATTGTTGACTCAGAAGCAATAGGGGGCAGCAGGCCACCAAGAGCACAACCCCAGGGCGAGGTCTAGAGGGACCCCTCAGCCCGCCTCTGTTTACTGTGCAATCCAGTCCTTCTTAAGCCATCAACAGTGGGCGTGCTCAGAGCAGAGGGGCCAGGGCTCTGCCAGCCGAGGGCAGGGCCCAGAGCCCTGTGCTGGGGAGTATGGCACCGTCCACCCACCTGGCGGACTGGGTGGCATTCCTCCCCAAGGCCCTTACTTTGGAGGCCTCCCTTCCTCTTGGGCACCCCCACCAGTCTCATCTCTAACGTTCTATGCAATGAAATATAAACCCTCAAAGACAACTGTTAATATTTAATAAATTCCATGTTATGTATAAGAGGTTAATTGCAAACATGCAATTGAGAAACTGGATAGATAAGCTCATATCATCCCCCCCCCCCCGCCCCCTGCTCTCACCGTGTGTGTGAAATTCTCAGTCTGTGGCATGTTTGACCTGTGGCAGGACTCGCTGCTGCCAGGCGAGTCACCGCCTGTCCTGCAGTGGAGCATGCACAGCTCGCAGCCTTTTTGCACGATTTCATCCATTTTAAATGCTTTGCCCTCTTGCTTGGGAGTTCTTTTTGCCTCAGAACCTCTCCTTCAGGAGTGCTTCTAGCTGACTTCTACACGAGCTAGTGAGGACCTGCTGGAATTGTTGCCTGAGCATGCCAGGCTGCAGGGCGGGCAGTGCAGGGCCTCACACACCCTGCAGGTTTCTCGGACCAGGATGGTAGGTGAAAAGAAGCCTTTGGAGTAGACACGCTGGTGGAGCCCACAAAGGAGTGTGTGGGTGAACATTCTGAAGGTTTGCTGTAGGATTTCCATCTGTAAGTCGCTCCCCCTCTTATTCCATCCCTGAGCCAGAGGCGTCAGGCCACCCCTTTCAGTGGGACATGGCTCAGGCACAGAGCTGGGCTGTCTTTGGCCAGAGACACAGAGACAGGGTCTGGCTATGTCCTGGGACCCCAGCTCCTGACTGCACCTGCTCCATGCCTCTTCTTTGTAGCTCGGGGGGCTCCAAGGTTTGTGAGGCAAGAGATCTAGGCTGGGACAAGAGGGTCAGCGGGTGCTCAGTAAGAGCTAGGTCTTTGGCGCTTGTGGTGAGGACAGCTGACAATGTCATCTTGGACCAGAGCAAGTGTTCACATAGACAGTGGCTTCAAGCTGAGTTTCTTGGAAAGCTTCTCAATAACAAAATTCACAGAAGGTTCTTTTGTGACCCTCTTTCCATCTATCTCCAGGACCTAAACTCCCTGCCCACTCTCATCTCTGAAGCCCAAGTATTGCACTGCTTGTCAGCTTTTCTATGACTGAGCTGGGAGCGCAGCAGGCAGTGGCTGTCCGACCCCTCAAGGCCTGGCCTTCCTTCAGTTTGCTCTGGTTTGCACCATGCATTTCTCAGGGGTCCACATTTCTCATACTTTCCTATAAGGTCTACACAGCCCGTCAGAGGGGGATCCTGGCCTACCTCTGGCAGGATGGGGCAGGAGGCTGTTGACCTCTGTTTTGGGCCTGTGACCCTGGTCCTCCTGGATTTGGGCTTCACCCATCCCCCAGGACCCCAGGACCCCAGAGATCAGACCTGGGCTGTAAGAGCCCATCTGAGGAAGGGCTGAGGCCACTATCCATCACCTCTGACTACCCAGGGCCAAGTCTGTGTGACGATGTGCCTGGTGGCTAGACACATGAGGGACCAAGGCAGGAACCCTTCCCACTAAAGGCCAGGGGATGGGACCAGGAACAGGGAACAAGCAGGGAGAGGACAGCAGGTCAGCCTCCATCGGGCCCAGTCTTAGGCTCTACGATGTTGACTTTTCAGCAAATTTTCTTTGTGATAAAGCCTTCTGAGTTTGAAATTTCTGACATCTGCCACTTCCCACTGTACCCACAGGACACATCTGTATCCATCACCCCTTGTGAAGGTGGCTGGAGCAGGCTCCTCTGGGCCACAAGTGTCCTGGCCCTTGTGTAGATGCAGCTGTGGCTCTGGGAGCAATGCAGCCCGAGGCTAAGGGACCAGCATTTGGTGCCTTGGGCAGTGTGGGAGCATCGAGCACATCTCCAAATGGGCAGTCTCTGGGATGCAGTCTAGGCCTTCTCCATACCTGCCTCCTCAGTGTCATGAGCAAGGGCATTGTTTCTGCCCACTCCAGGGCCTAATGCACTCACTTCACAGCGACAGTCCCCTCCCACCCACCCACTTAGTCCTTGGGAAGAGAATGTGGTCTCAGGGCCCATGATGAGAGGGCAGCAGTGGCAGTAACTGTGGCCTGTCTTGCGGAACCTGTGCAGAATTTTCTAGGCAGATCCTTTGCCATGGTAGCATGGCCCTTCCTCTGCCCTCATGCCACCCTCCCCCCATCTGTAAATACTTGTCATCGTGGACTCCGACAGGGTCAGAGGGACAGGCCTGACCAACTGAAACTCCTCAGAGATATCATCTCTGTCTCCCTGGGTACCAGCAGCCCTGCTGTCATGTGCACTGGGGTGGCACTGGAGAGCCATGGAAATCGTGAGATACTGTGTGTATGCATGTGAACAAGCGTGTGAATGTGTATGTTTGTACGTGTCTGCCCCACTCAGCCTCTGGGATCAAATTAGCTCCTGCTCTCCAAGCGCAGTGCCCTGGAGAGTGGTGGCTGCCCAAAGCCTTTTCTCTGCTAGCTTCCATGTCTTGTTTTTGCTTTTCCCTCACTCCTTCCCTCCCTCCTTCCCTTCTTGCCTCTCTCCCTTTCTTTCCTTCTCTCCTTGGAGGGGGGAAGAGTGCTGTACAAAGTCAAACAAACAAGTTTACAGTTGTAAGTGCAATGACCCGAGTCCTCCACATGACCTTGTGAATTGTGTGCCGTCCTCCTGTGCTCTGTGAGAACTCGTGGTACTTCAGTGTCCCTCCCCCTGTATTGTGACAAGGTAATTCTGTGGTATCAGAATAAAAGGACTTGATATAAACAACCTACAGACTGTCTCTGAGATGGTTTCTGAAATGGTAAGGCTGTCATTGTCCAAGAGGAACAAAGCCTCAAACTTGTGACAATCCTGTCCGTTTACAGTTAAAGGGAGAAGAGTGAAAGTGAAAGGGCCATGGTGTAGAAGTGCTGGCAAGGCCACAGCTAAGCCTGCACGAAGCTGGCCAAAAAATACAAGCCCCTCCACAAACACACCCAGGTCAGGTCCCGAGTTTGGACCTGGATGGAGTAGTTAGTTCACTGTGCAGATGTTGAGGGATTGGGCCTCCAAGGAGGCTGTGTCCAGGCTGTGCTGCTTTCTGGGGCCTGGTTACTGGTGAGCCGGGTGAGCAGGTGCTGCCCCCTGGTGCTGCCAACAAGCACCACACCTACCTACCTTACTGTGTCTACTCTAAGCCCTCAACTCTTGGAGGCTGCCAGACCTTAGTTCTTCCCCAGCAGGATGGGTGAACCCCCTTACCAGAGTAACCCAAAGCTGCTAGAAATTTTTTTTAAGATGCAGGTAAACAAAAAGAGTATCAGCCTCACCTCTGACCTTCCTCCAGAGTTAGTATCTCAACATATGTCCCTCCTTTATGTTTTTCTTTTTCATTTTAAACAGAAGCCAGAATGTGCTCGCTTCGGCAGCACATATACTAAACAGAAGCCAGAAGGTGCAGTACCTTCTCTTTTCTAGCCTCCTGTTTATTTCTACATGTTTATCCCAGGTACTTAGATGTTTATCCTCCAATGCCCAGCCTCCAGAGAGAAGCATGATGAGTTTATAGCCAGTCTGCATACAGTACACACCCGGAAGGCCGGGCACCATGGTCCCAGTTTTCCTTAAAATAATAAACAACACTGTGATGAACATCTTAGTTTTCAACCTTTCCACTCAGCTTGGTGGCTGTGGCCACTCTTTCCTCTCAGTTCTGGCCTTGACAGGCCTGTACATACTTGGTTCTCACAAGTGCAAGTGGCCTCAGAAAGTAGGGACTGTTCTTAACTAGTCCAGTGTGGTTGATGGGGAAGGGGAAGCTGTAGTCCAGGCAAGTGGGGATCTCAGAGGAAAGGCAGAGTGCAGGAAGGCTGGTCCCTGAGGTGTGGAAGACCACTCAGGCTCAGGGTAAATGGAGTAGGGGGCATCCCTACTAGCCTGACTGCTGCCCAGTCTCTCCTGCCTCCTCTGTTATCATAACCCACCCAGTCCTGTGGCACTGTGAGGAGGGAGCCTGCCTGCCCAGGTCCTCCTCCTGTCCACAGGAAGTTCTCTGGTTCTGGGTGTGGCCTGACACACGCCCCCAATCCCCCCCCCACCCGTCAGGCCCTCTGCACCTAAGAGCTTCTGATGAGCCTAGGAAGGGTAGAGATCCACCCTCTCACGATCCGCAGCAAGGTGCCACTGAGCGGGGCGGTTGAGGGCTGCAAGGACAGATAGCTCTTAGGGTAGGCCTGGTGGCCGATAAGCCCAGGCGACACCCGGAGAGCTCAGCATCCTCCCTTTAACCCGCACCCCAGGGCTCTGCGCGCTCCACTAGGAGTGCACCTCGGTCCTTCTCTCCCCGTCTGCCTGGGAGTCCCTCCAGAGCAGGGACTGGTACCTGCTGGTGAACGTTTGCTTCAGTCCCCGGGCTGTGGGAGATGCCTGCTGGGGCCAGCTTCAGCTCCTACCTTGCCTCTCCCGGACACGCCCTCATCGCCTTGTGGTGGATCCGACCCTTACTGGCCTCGGCCCTGGTCCCGCCCAGTCCCGCCCCGCCCCTATCTTCAAAGATACATTGATCCGCGTCCCATCCCAGGCCCTGTCCTTCTTAGGGCCCAACCCCGTCCGACCTAGCTTTTCACCTTACTGGCTATTCCCGACTCAGACCTCACCTCCTCACTCGAGCTGCGTAACTGCTCACAGGCCTCGCACTGCCTAGAGACGGGTCCTGTACTCCG